CACTTGTTACAAGATTTCAGGTAAGCAACATGTGGATGTTTGTCTGTAATGTGATTGCTTATTCATCTTATGACGAGTCGTTATTCTCGTACGTTGTCAGGTCGCTTATATCCAAGTTAGAGGAAGTCGATCCAAGGAAGTTGAATCATGAGGAAAAGCTAGCATTTTGGATCAACGTACACAATTCTCTGATGATGCATGTAATGATTTTTCATAACTTGGAATTCATTCCTTCTTTTTAGTTCTTCATAGACAGTCAGGCTATAATATCTACTTTGTTTTCTGAAAGGCATACTTGGCTTATGGTGTACCACAAAACAATATGAAGAAGGTCTTTGTTCACTTGAAGGTAAAACATGAGTCCTGCTGATCCGTTATGATTCGTAAATTCTGTATGATTATCGTGTTCTTACGTTCTTCCTCCATTCAGGCTGCATATAACATAGGAGGTCAAACAATCAGTGTCCACACCATACAAAGTTCGATACTTGGATGCCGAATGCCTCGGCCTGGACAGGTAAGCTGTGAGATCCCACATCAATTGGAGAGGGGAACGAAACATTTCTTATAAGGGTGTGAAAACTTTTACCCTAATAGACACGTTTTAAAACCGTGAGGCTGATGGCGATACATAACGGGCCAAAACGGATAATATCTACTAGTGGCGGGCTTGAGCTGTTACAAATGATATTATAGCTATACACCGGACAGTGTGCCAGTAAGGACACTGGACCTTCAAGAGGGTGGATTGTGAGATCCCACATCAATTGGAGATGAGAATGAAACATTCTTTATTAGGGTGTGAAAACCTCTCCCTAGCAGATGCGTTTTAAAACTGTGAGGCTGACGGAGATAGGTAATGGCCCAAAGCGGATAATATCTGCTAGTAGTGGACTTAAGAATGTCACTGACAAAGATAGTTTGAGTTCTTATGATTAACCTAAAGAGATAAGTTTCTTCTGTTTGCAGTGGCTCTCTCTTCTTATTCCCTCGAAGTCGAGATTCAAAAGTGGAGATAAACGACAAGCCTACAAAATCCACCGGTCGGAACCCCTTTTACATTTTGCACTTTCTACAGGCTGCCATTCTGATCCTGCGGTAATGAAAACATCTCTGCAAAGTTTCTTGTTTCTGTTTCTTACATAGTCATATGTGGTCTTGTCTTAAAGTCTCGGACATTCTGCTGTGTTCCAGGTTCGTGTATACACTCCCAAAAGAGTCCTACAGGAGCTAGAGACAGCAAAAGACGAATACATTCGAGCGACATTCGGCATACGCAAGGACAAAAAAGTCGTTTTACCCAAGATCATCGAGTCATTTGCAAAAGAATCAAGCTTGTGCACAGCTGGTATGATGGAAATGATCCAAAAGTCTTTACCTGAATCTCTTAGAAGAAGTGTTTCGAAATATCAAAACGGGAAGTCTCGCAAGAACGTCGAATGGATGTCACACGACTTCAGTTTTCGGTATTTGATATCCAGGGAAATGGTGAACTGACCGAGCAGCTGCTTAAATGATGCTCTCATGAACTGATCCCCTTGAATGGTTTAGAGACAATAGAAGGGTTACATATTTTCTTCCTTCTGTACATAGCACAGTCCACTAAACCGAGCGGCGCGGAGAGCAGCAAAAGGCAGCATCTTGAGGCATTCTACCTTCTACAGTTTGTAATCTTCTCAATGTTGTGTGTGTTGTTGATACCATCTAGGATTTCATATTTTTTGTTGTAAATAAATTTGAGTTTGAAGCTCAGTTCGTTTGTGATAAATAGTTAGTATAAACTCCAAAGAACCAGACCAAGGAACCAACCATATCAATGTATTTTCGTAACACCCGAGTCTATCGAATCTTGGATCGTCCCTCAATATCAACTTTATGGTTGCTTCCAAATATTTAATACAATGGTTATTTAGCCATAAAATTATTGTGATCGATGTGTTTGGTCGAAGTTTTTTTAGTTGCAAATACATGGGGTGGAAAATTGAACCTCTATGTGAGATCTCCGATTGAAGAGAGAAAAGAGAGAAAAGAGTGTCAGCAAGGACATGGACTCGAAGGGGAGTGGATTGTGAGATCCCATAATGAAACATTTTTTTTTATAAGGGATATCTAATATTTTAACTGTACTAAGGTTGAATGTGAAACGGATAAACTGGTTTATTTATTGGGCCTACCGTCCACGTTGAGCCCAATTCCGCTCCATATTTGAAAACAGTGCCCAATATCTCTAAAAATTGGGTCTGGAATCAACGTAACCCAATTTGAGTCGGTAATGTTGTAAGATGTTTGTCATCTTGATAACAAAAAATAAAAAGGACAAACAAAAGGGTATCTAAATGCATATTCTTTTTTGGGCTTTAATCATATCATAGGATTCCCATTGGATAAGGATACTCATCCCTTCACGTCCCATAAACATTACCGAAAAAATCAGGAACTTATAAATAAGAATCACTATCTTCGTTAATATAAAACATTTTTTAAATAATATCTTACTAACATAATAACACTAATAATAATATTAATTTTGCAAAACTGAATTTGGGTGGTGGAAAATCATTCCATCCAATTAAAGAAAAATAATTTACAAAAATAGCATCAGGAATAATAACTTAAATTTAAATATATTTTTATTATTAAAAAAAAAAAAAAAAAAAAAAAAAGTGTTTTGTGTGTGTATATTGCATGCAATGCCAAAGCAGCACAAAACAAATAAGTACTGCTCTGCCACACCTACCCACAACCCACTCTGAATCATTGTCCTCTTTTTCTCTTTGGCTTTCGTTAAATTACATTTCTACCCATAAAAATCTAAAATGGAGTGAAATCCTTATTTATTAATTTAATAACTTATTTTTTATTTACACTCCTATATTTATAAATTTTCTACAAATATTATAAAATTGAGCCACCTTCTATAAACAATGCTATTTAATTTTTTATTTTTATTTTTTAATAAATAAAAAATACATAAATCGAAATCACATCTAAATGAAAACAATCAGGATGATATGCTTTTTATATTATGTATTTATAATAAATGAACAAAAAATACCTTTTTATTGTATTTGGAAGATCATTGGCGAAGAAGTGTTAGTTATTGGTTTTTATAATATATATATTATAGAGAGAGAGAGAGAGAGAAATAAATAATAAATTTATTGAGAATAAAGCACGTGGATATGCTTCAGAGACAAGGATCAGCAACTTCCACATATTTAACGTTGGTCAAGTCAATGTCACGTTGAATCGTACATTCATTGTCCCCTTTCTTCATTATTATTATTATTATTATTACATGTTATTTGTTCAAGTCACAAAATCCTAGGAATTCACTATTAAATAACATTTTATTCAAAGGGGTTTGTTTAACTATAAATAAATAAATACTTTAGTATAGCGAAATAATAAAAATAACTTTAAATTATAACTTTTATTTAAAAAATATTTATAAAAGGTTTTAATAATATTTTTTAAAATTTTAAAAATCTAAAAAACTACCTTTATATTTTTTTTAAAAATATAAAATATTCTTACCATTAATTTTTAATTAAAATGCAAACTGTATATGCTTTGTTTCAAAAATACTTTTAGATTTTTTTAAGAAAATTAAAATACCTTTTAATTAAGATTTTAAACGCTTAAAAATAATTAAATAAAATTATTAGGAACTTTAACTAATTATTAATCTATAATGATTCTATTTTATCATTTCATTAAAATTAGGAGTACGAAAATTTAAATTTAATAAAATTTTACTTCTAAATTAGGAAAGAATTTTGTTGAATTTGAATATATGTCTACTTTATTTAACAATTAATATTGAATACTATTTCAAAGAATATTGTCGTACGTGAAACTACTAATTTGCCCTTAGCCACAAATATATACAGCTGTCTTCTGACTACTCTATCAATTCTTCCTAATCTGCCTATGATTAATTAACTTCTACTTTAAATACTTTTTAATTCAGCTAAATTGATATTCTTGGAAATTGTATTTTTCTCACATGCTAACATTATCATCCTTATAAATTTTCTAATTTTAATAAAGAAAACCTCACATCATTAATGACGAGGAGGACAAAACAGGAAATTATAGCGTAATCTTAAACTCATGTTGACATCGGCTTGGCTAAATTCAAACGACTCCTACGCTGCCTAGTTAAAAAAATAATCATGGATCGTGAGTAAGAACATCATCTCTATAGATGTAAGACTTTAGAGTTTGGTCAAAGTGAACAGTATCGCACTAATGCATATGCTTGTGGTTCCTAACATGGTATTTAAAGTTACTCGAGTATCAAGGATTGAGCCTCGATTAAGGGAATAAAAATGTGAATGGCAAGTTGAGGTCCATGAATGGTCCTCACTATCTCTTCCCCCACTACGTTATGAAGCATTTGTGTCCAAAAAATGATGTATGGAGACCAAAATTGAAGGGCGGGACCTTAAAACAGCAACCAAATGGACCATTTAGTCCTTTCATTTTCCTTACTTCTTCCAATATTCTACTTTGCCCATGCCTTCTTTATCCATTCCACATTAATCAAAATAATGTATTTTTTTATCCTCTTAAAATAAAAACATACGTAAATGATTTATTTAAACATTTCATTTTTTTTTTCATTATTTCAACCTAAATAATAATAATAACAATAAAAGAAAACATTCTTCCAATTGTATTATTTTCTCTAATATTTAATATAGAAAAAGAAATAGAAGATGCCCAAAAGTTTTATACCGATTATATAGTAATTCCTTAGCCTGAGATCTAAATTATTTTATATCTAAATTATATGGTATAATTATTTATCAAATAATAGCCATGATATATACGGAAAAACAGAATATATATATATTCTATAAGCAAAGGGTAAAATTGTAAATTCATCTGAGAAAACCGACATAAAAATGTAAATTATTATGAAAATAAATAAATAAAAAGACTAATTTATATCTATCGTTTTATTTTTGGAAGTGCTATAATCTTAACAGCTATTTTAAACAATAAAAAAAAAAAAAACTAACCAAAATATCTAAACGAACCAGTCCCTATTTCCCCAATATTTACAAAATTAACCCACCGATTTAAGAAAAAACGACCTACTCAGGAATCGCCGTCAAATTCGCCGCGAATTTTTTTCTTCCACGGCTGGCGACCACTAGTTTGCGACTCTTGAGTTCCTTAGCCGCGAAAACCACCGGAGATACTGATCTCCGGCGGTTGCCATATTTGTTTCCCGTGCCACGTTTCATGAGCGCAGCGCTGGCCTTGACGGCCAATGCGGCCATTTCCTGGGCCTGAAGTGGCTGCTTCAGCCTACTCAATGGCAGTGCAAAATAAAGATGTCCGAGTTGAAGCTCTTCGTCGTCGCCAATGGCCGACAAGGCGTCATCGAAATCCATATCGTCAGAGTTGCAAATAAAGCACGACGGATTCTTTTGAAGAACGTACGAAACCTTGATTGGATAAGAAAATTCCTGCAGGCTTCCGTCGTTAAGGATCAGTCTGGCGGTGGCCACTGAAATTGATTCCGATGAACTGCAAATACCCATTAACGGCGGCTCGTCACGGCGGAGAGAGAAGACTGCGACAACCAGGGGATTTGGAGGCGCTAGGGATTTGGGAACGCTGATTGTTATTTATATAGGGAAGGTGGGGCTCACGGTTTTTAAACTGCGTGCACCACGTAGGACTGGTCAAACAGTAATGTGGGCCCCCGTTTTTTTTTTTTTTTTTAATTAATAGTGGGGACTGCCAGGCTGGGAGTTGGTCGTGACAGGTTGGATGGGATTTGCATTGTGTACTTCCAATAATGACCCTACTCATTATATTTATTACCTAACTAATATCAATTATTCATTTTTTCGCCGTAAAAAATCAACGTTTTAGTTAAAAAGGTAACGGTTAAAATTCTATTTTAGTCTAGATTTATTTTAACTATTATTGGTTCAGTTGTACAGAATAAGAAGGTTGTTTTAGTTTTCGAGGTCTACAAATGTCATTTCACATCTATTATTTTTATTTCGAAATATTTTAAAATGATATTTGAATATATTTGACCTGACTGACGTGGTTAAATATAATATTTTTTATTTTCGCATTTCCACTTTCCCTTCTCCCCTCCCCTCCCTTCCATCTCCGGCCAGAGAGAGCACGACTAGCCAGGACCACACCGCCGGCGCAGAGCCTTTAAAGAAGGTACACATATACGAGTTCCGGTGGCGAGGGTCTTGGTCGATCTGAGTATTCGCCGTAGAAAAGTTAAGGGGTTCAGTTTGGGGGAGGGGGGTGTCCCACAAAAGGACAGTGACCACCGTCGGAGTCCAATACAAAGTACCTAATAATAAAGACATTCCCACAAGTTATGGAGTTGAATGAACATTTTAAGACAGCACTGTCCCATTTTCCTGAGTTTTCTTGTCTCTTTTTCTTTTACTTTATACAGAGCAGCCAATGCTAATCTAATCTAATCCATCATTTAATTTCCACATGCCTCCCCTTCATTATTATTATCTTGCTTTTTAAATCTCATCCATTTTTAATATTTGATATTTTATTCCTTCTATTTAATTATTTCTATCTTATTTTTATAAGAGATTTCATTTGGGATGAATATTTTTTATAATCTCTAATAAAAATTTCTCCTTATTAAACACGTTTTAAAATCAAAATCACTGGTTAAAAAAATATCTACTAATTAACCATGTTCAGGATAATAACACTTATGATTATTGGATTAATTTTTTTATTTTTATTTTTTTATTTTTACAACTATCCAATCCAATTTTGAAGAATTGGACAAATTTATGCAACAGAGTGAATAAAGAAAATCAGAACCTATAATTCACAGTTTTCTTTTTCTTTCTTTTTTTCATATACAGTTCTTAAAAAATGAGTTTAAGAAGAAAGACTCTATAAAGATGGAAGAAGCCAGAGATTGAAGAGTGAAGAAACAAGAGAAAGAAACCAAGACAAGAATGCCATTACTGCAGAAAGCCGATATCTATTGCAAAGCTTTGCTGAGCAATACGAAATCCCGGCTTCGAGCAAGATATCGGCGACACTGGCTGTCGAGCAAGCAGCACCCAAAGACAGAAATGATAGAACCTATGACATAACATACAAAGTGTGTTAAATGTTTTTCCTTTCATTTTCTATCAGAAGGAGAAACAACAAAGAACAAAGAACAAAGAACAAAGATGTTATATTTTGTTTCCTAGACGATATTTCCCGTACCCAATCTCCAGTGACGATGATCGACGTTACTCGTGTTTGAGGAGGTAAATGCCTAACAAAAACAGAATAGCCATCTACTACTGCCAATGTCAGACTCCAAGGAACCATCAAACCCATGACTGTCACCAGATAGCTGGGGGAATCAACATGAGCAATCACAAAGTTTCCTTCAGATTTTGGATCTTCATATATTTTTCGCACGTGTATGTATGTATGATCAGGAAAAAAAAAAACAAACAAACAAACAACAGAAAATTAGCTCAAGTTTTCATCATTTATGCTCTCCTGGCTGAGCATCTTTCAGAACTCCTCCCTCCTAAGATGCAAGTCTAATTAACTCTCCAAACATATTAAACTTGACGTTCTTATCCTTATGTTCAAACAGTTGCATCCAGTCATAAGAACACCTAAGAAGTGGATGGAAACAAGAAATTTTCTCCAAACAACTTGCAAACAAGAATTCTCGACCATGTTCATCTATCTATATCAGAAAACTTTGTTTGATCAGAGAAATATTCCATTGCAGTTCATCATATTACAAACATCCAAACCATTCTGTAAATTGTAACCTAATTAGTTTGAAATGATTTCAGTAGTATAATAGCACACCCCGGATCCGCTAATCCTTGTTTAAATACATATTACCCTGTCAAAGATAGCCAGGGAAAAGAAATGCTACATAAAATGGATGAACAATCTAATATTCACACCCACTTGGGTTATTTCTTAAATAGGTTGCCACTATCAGTTCAGAAGAATCTAAATTCATAACTTGTTGAGAAAACGCATGATTCTTTGATCAATATCCAAGACAGAATTTCTGTAGGCAGTAATCAAACATTTGATACACTAATGTACAAAATGCATACATTGAAATTCAAGTTAGGCTATGAAGCTAACACACTTGCTACTTACAAGAACAAAAAGTTATTACAAGATTAAGCCGATTTCGTGATCAGAAAGCCAGAACAAAAACAACCAAATAGGAGAAAGTAGGAAGAAAGAAATTCTGATTACCAGAAAGCCGTGTAGCTATAGAACTCGATTTCGAGACACATGAAGACTAGGGAAGCCGAGGCAAAGATCGCCTGACCAAGACGGAGTGCCAAGCTTGCGCTTGTGCCCAATGCCCCCGGCATCTCTTCCATTTTCCTCTGCAACTATTCTACGCCACAGCCACAGCCACAGCCACAGCCACACTCCTCGATCGTAAAACCATCACTCAGAAATGGTGGGGACTAACAGAATCTCTACTGAAATTGGGTTTGAAGACCTTGAAATCGAGAAACGGAATTGGGTTGGGTGGGTTTGTTTGTCGGGCTGGGAAAAGAAAATGGATTCTCTGAAGATGAAAGATCGGAAATGGCTACGCTGCTGCACCCTGATCTTGTTCATCCAGATTAGCCGGCTTTCTGATTTCGATTTTGGAGGAGCTTTGATTGTAAATTTGTAATTTATAGTTGGAAATTAATTGTATAAATTTTAATATATGACGAGTTTTTTAAAAATCTTTATTTATTTATTTATTTATTTATTAGGGAGGGATGGAAACGGGAAAAAAAGAACAAAGAAAAAACCGTCAAATCAAATCTGTGGAGTCTAAAAATCCAGAAATTAATTTATCATATTTTATTTCAAAGTTTTGATCAAATATTATAAAAGGAATATTATTTTTAGATTGGTTAAGTTTATTATTTTTTTCAAGCTTAAATATATATGTAAATTTTAAAATTTGAATGTTTTGCACTAATATTCTGTTAACCAATCTAAAAATAACTACATTTCAAATATACCTTTTATAATATTTTATTTTATCATTAATTTTAGAAGAAAACAATTAATACTTTATTTTAAAAATAAATAATTTTCAAAATTTTTATTAATACCTCTAAAATTTTTAAAGACGGTAAAAATACCCTTAAACTCTTTTTAAAGTTAAAAAGTACATTGACTATTAGTACCACGTTTAAAAGTTTGGAGATAATAATTAAAGCTAGACAGTTTTTGTCTGTATATTAATAAAAATGTTTATCATATAAAGGTAAGAGATGTTAATGTTTATTTTAAAATTTTATAGATACCTTTTAAATATAATATTAACACTAAGGATATTTTATAGTTTTTTTTTTTAAAAATGGAAAGGTATTAATAAATTTTTTAAAAGTTTAAGAAAATTTTAAAATATTAAAAATTTAATTTGTTATCATGGAAAAGTAATAGTAAAGTTATTATTGTTTTTTTTTTTTTTAAAGTTTAAAGATAGACAAAATACATAAAAAAAAATTATTAATTTAATTTTTAAATAATTATTTGATTTTCCTTTGTTTTTGCACATTTTTTTTCATCAACCATTCGAATTATTAGTTTAATCCTAAAAACAAAAACAAAAACAAATTTTAAAATTGGTTGGAAATACAAATGGTGTAAGTAATATTTATAGTTTTTGAGCATATTTGTTGGATTATTATTAATGCCAACTACTTTAAAACTAATTTAATGGGAGAAATAGTAATCAATAGCTCCCACTATGTCCATGTTCACCAAAATATCATAACTTTATGCTGTCGACTAGACACAATAAGGATTCGCAATCTTCTCCACTTCAATGCGAAGCTTCCCTTTTTGTGGCTATAATATAAAGTTATTATATATATACTTTTTTGTTATTTCCAACTCAAATATCGGGTTGTTTTTTCTAATAGCGTCAGCCATTGAAGAAGGAATATTTATTAGCGGTAGGTTTGAGTTGCTACATAAACCATCAAAGAAGAATATAGGAGATACTCTTGTTAGGAACTCTAATATTCTATCTCGATGTTGATACAAGGAAAATAGAGAGGAAAAGAAGCTCCCAAGTCTCATCTATTTATGACCATGAAAGTTGTGGTGGATTATAATTGGATACTTAAAGAATGAGTATAACAATTCAAATTCAAACTCATCCCTAGCCGATATGATTATATTTAGGTTTTCTTTTTTTAGACTTCTCCCTGAAGTTTTAGTATTAGAGAGATGTTTTCACACGTTTATGTTTCATTCTTCTTCCCGACGGATGGAGATCTTACAATCCATCTCCTTTACGGCCCAACGTCTTCATTGACACTCACTTCTCTTTTCAATCGAGGTAAGATCTCTCAATCTTCCTCCTTCAAGATCTAACATCCTCGTTGACACTCGTTTCTCTCTCTGATCAATGTTGACTCGACGGCTACCTGTGGGCAGATCTAATCTTGAATTGTGAAGCAAATATATGTTTAAGACGAGTGGAAGGCACAAGATTTTATATGCAAACTGGATAAAACAGAACCCCCTTTTATCGTTTCTCTCCATAAGAAAGTTTAGCAGCTTTCCCTTTTAACTTACAAGGAACAATATGCAATCATAAAGGAAGAAAGAGAGGCGGCCTAAGAATCGAGCTGAGCGTACCAGACACCCTGGATCTTCACATCCTTTGGAGCTTTTGCCCCCAAATCAGTATCAGAGGGCTGAATGCTCTCAAATACACCAATTACTTCGCCAGTCTCGGGCTTGCTCTTGGTGACACTCAAAGTGATTTTGCCTGTTGAAGATGAAGCATTCTTGACGTTTTCTTTAGCAAGTTCTTCTTCATCACCTCTTCCTCCAGCAGGCAATGCAACAGCGTTGTCATACCCGGTTGAACCTCCTCTTCCCTTTGGGTCCAAGAAAGATGAGCCACGGTATGATGGGACCAAGAAGTCTCCTCCAAAGCTCTCTGGTTTTCCAGAGGCCACCAGCTGTTTGATGGTGAAGAGGAAAGGGACACGCTCGCCTCCAGGTAACTGGACAGTGACAGCAGCATAGTCAATGCCATCTTTCTCCTCAAACTTGATGGAACCATCAGAACCCACTTCAAAGGGTCCTTCAATCTCATCCAGGGTGTAAGTTAGGCGAGTCATGAGCTTGGTGTTTTGAAATTCTGGTGGGGAGTTCTTGTTCACTCCCTCAGCCTTCACAGTGAACGAAGTTGGCTCCAGACAGAACTTCTTGGCTTGGTATTTCCCAGGCTTGAAGGCAAATGACTCGACTCCTCCATCAATGGTTGGGCACTGGTTTGCTGTTCCAGTTCCCTTCACTTCAAGGTATGTCTTGCTCTGGATTTCATCAAAGGTGAGTCTCTTTGGTACTCCTTCAGCTCCTGCTCCCTGGAAATACACGAAAAGCCTCAAACAGTTCAGATGCTCACCAAGTTGTAGCATTACACTTGCATACACCAAGTCTACTCAGTCAGGACAGTCCTTGAAATTTTATACTCAACTTTTAAAAGATTTGTATCAAATAGATTCCGTATTTTATTAATTTAGAACATACCTAATACACAAACTATAAGTTATTTAAGGATTATGTAATTCTTGCATAATAATGTTATGTAAGTAATTAAGCAAACAAAACTAAACTCATATATTAGCCTCCAGTTTTTTCGTAATCTTTTAACTAAACTCAATTACTTCACGTCACTGGATGAAGCCAAACATACAAGGCCACTGTAAATTGGGATCTTCAGGAAAATTGAGCATTAAACGGGTTCAAATGCTTGCACCACTTGGATCAAGAGTTTTCATCCTTTCTTTAGTAAGAAATCATCACTAAGTTACCAAATCGGAGATTATTAATTACACACTCTGAACTAGAATTAGTTTCCTCAAGAAGTGCCAATTTTGTGCGAGATAGAACTGAAAGAAGTTGATCAATATTAGCGACTAAATTCAGCTGGCAATTTAACGTACTCAGGACCGAAACGATCCTAAATTCATTCAAAACTTCGAGAATAATAACAAACAAGACCGTAAGAAAAGCAAACCTCCATAAGCAAAGAAACGGCATACCGAGACTACAAGAGCGGAAGTGGCAAGAGCGAAGCCAGCGATCTTGGCGGCATCGGCGAACTTCCGAGAAACTTCTTTGAGATCGGAATGCAGAGAGCAGGTGAGTCTAGCTCCGGCAGATTCAACGCCAAAAGCTTTAGAAACGGCCTGAGAAGATCTGAGTTGCGAGGTGCCGCTCCTTGCGGAGACGACCAACTTGGAGGGTTGAATAAGCGTAGCCGCCGCGTGTACTGAAGCCGCCATTGCTCTGAAGACTGGTATCTCTTCGTGTTCCCAGAGGAGAAAACGAAATGAAGACTGCTCCGGCGACTGATACTGAAACTATAATAACGGGCAGAGTAGGAAGGTTTTGGGAATGAGAGGACAAAACGATTATGTGGCTTTGGTTAGAGTAAGATAATGTATTGGATAAGAAGAATCTCATTACCTGATTGCATGCTTCATAACTGGTTCTATTTTTGCCACGTGGCATACACCTCATTTGCTACTCGGATATTCCTATACCCTTTTATTTATTTATTTATTTATTATTATTATTTTTTTAAATTTTCATTCTGCACTCTTGATGATAATTTCATTTAGTAGATTATCCCAATCTAAATATTAAAATTTTAAATTTGTGACAATTACTATTCCGCAACTTATAAAAAAAAAGAAAAATCGAAATTTGTAACCATCATCCAAACCCAAAGCTAATAAATATTATCCAAACCCAAAGCTAATAAATATTGTCGCATTGGCTTGGTACATATAGTCATACTCGTAGTTTTAAAACGAATCTCCTAAGGAGAAGTTTCTACACTCTTATAAAACATGTTTAGTTCTAACGTTTTCTAAGAAGAGGTTTTCACGCCCTTATAAAACATGTTTAGTTTCACTGTCTCACCGATGTTGGATCTCACTGTTCATCTTCCTTAGGGCCCAGCGTCCATGTTGGCACAATGCTAAAATGAGGTTTATACACCCTTATAAGAAATGTTTAATTCCACTCTCCGACCAATATGGGATCTCATGATCCATCTTCCATGGGGCCCAGCGTCCCCATTGACATAATGGTAAAACGTGTCTCCTAGGAATAGGTTTCCACACCATTATAAGAAATGTTTAGTTCCACTCTCCGAACGATGTGGAATCTCACGATCCATCTTCTTTGGGCTAGCGCCCCTGCTAGTACACCGCTCAATGTCCGACTCTGTTACCATTTGTAACAACCCAAATTTATTGCTAATAGATGTTATTCGTTTTGGCTGTTACATATTGTTGTCATCCTCACGGTTTTAAAACATGTCTAGTAGGGAGGGGTTTCCACACTCTTAGTTTTATAAAAAATGTTTCGTTTCCCTCTCTAATCAATGCGAAATCTCATATCAACAACTACGAGGTTGAACTTAATACCGATGACAAATGCCTTTTTGTAGTTTAGGATTCAATTGCATGATAAAAGAAAAAGAATCCAAAACAACCCTTTATCATAAACAGGACACTGATGAACAAGAAGTGGTGGAAAACTAAACAGAGGACCACGATGCTAACCTGGGAAACGTCGTGGAAAGAAGAGCATCAACACCACTGCAACGAAGCCAATCCATTTCCCAGCATCCCCTCTTAAGGAAATCAAGAAGAAACACGATATTGTGAACATTTCAAAACCATAAATCAAACCAGCAAGGAAATGAGAGTGACTGTCACCTCAATAAGTCGGACAAGAAGTGAAAAGTAAGCATGTTAGTTCTCCAGTTTGTGCGATCAAAAATCAACAACTGACTACATAATGATGTTAGAAACATGATATTTAGAAGCTCACAAACTGTGTCTGGAGCAGATGAACCCAAACAAGGCCTTGCATTACAAAGCACTCACATGGCAGCAAAGAAGTATCAAGGCCCTTTCCACCAAGCTTGGTGGCTGCAATTTTAAGCTCGTTGATATCAGAATTAATCAGCTCCTCTATTAAGGGGATCACTATTCAGAGCCAAATATGGCATCCTCGCCTTCTTCACCCTCCACCTAAGATGCACAGGAAATGTCTAAAGCTAATACCAGGGAACAATGAAGTTTCAAAGTGCAGGTGCCCAGCGTGAGATTGAAACTTACCCGATAAGGAATATTCCCATTTCAAATGAGAAATGAGAAATGAGAAAGTTTTTTCCAGAAGAATTGAGACAGAACAAAGAGAATTGGAAGTGGCAGAGCCAGTGCGGCATTTATACAAACACCTGGAGTGCATGTTTGTAGTTTCAAATTCAAAGGAACTGGGTCATAGCAAAATGTAAGGCAAGTTAAAAGAAACATAATGATGAAGGGGAGAAACATGAAGAAGAAAGAGGAGCGGTAGAAAGTAGATGGGCTTTGTTTGACTGAAAATGATCAATCATGAACCAAAGCGCATGCAATTATAAGAGCCACTATTTCTTGGATTCTTTTACACCTAAAACTGAAAGAGTTCTTCAAAAGTGGCGCCGCCTATAACACCTTTTTCACTGTTGCTTTACCAAACCCTATAACAACACTTCACGACGAATTACTACTCATCAAAGAAAAGGAAGAAAAAAATTTAAGAACTTTTCAAGAGGGAGGAAAAAGAATTAGTTTATAGGTCAATGGATGATGATTGATGGTTTATTAAGCTTTTATCCAACATCAAAAGTCCATTCATTATCACATCACAACTACTTTTACTAATGAATTCATTTTTATCCTATATAAAGTTCCTTTTATATTTAGAATTATTTTTATTAATTTACCCAAAATATTACGGAAGAATGGTTCAAATTCAGGGCATAAACGATCTCTATGAGCAATTAAGAATCAATTGAATTGGATCACAAATAAGAATGAGCGGTGATTCTAATTTAATTAAGGTATCACTGAAAGACGTGCCACAAAACGGTGAGTGGAAGCAACAAATTTGATTACCCATCACAAAATTTGGAAAATTACAACTCCCAATTTAACCATAATCATAATGATAAAGGAAAATATTCATCTGCAGTACGTTCTACTGCTGATGATGGTGGTGTCGTCCTCTCCGACCATCCGCAACCGCCGATTCATGGGAATCACAAACCTGAGTTTTGAACTTACATCCAAACCGTCTGATCAACGATCCTCGCCATCGACCTCCAGGGTCTTGTGGACCCGCTGCTTTATCCTTATCGATCTTCTCGATCACTTTCTTCATCGTCGAGCACTCTCTTTCAAGCTGATGCACCCGCGTCCTCATGCTATCCATGTCTAAGCGAAGCATCTGATTCTCCCTCACCGTCTCTCTCCACGTGCCGTTCTCGTGCGCTATTGGCCCTGGAACTTCCTCCTCCTTCTCCTCTCCCACTCCCCGTTGCAACTCCTCCGTTTCGGGACGGGATACGGCTGAGAATCTTCCGGTATCCGCCGGTACAGACTCCGCAGCCATGAGTGTTCCAGCGATGGCGTGACGGAGCTGCAGCTGTTCAAAGAACAGCACCTGCACTACTGCTCGCAGTGGAAGGCGGTCGTTCTGAGCGGCGTGGGTGCATGCCTCTAATGTCAGCTTTTGGCAGTCCATTACTCCGCAGATCTTCTCGCGGTCTGCTTCGGATATCCATGGATGTGCCTGTCAAAAGAATTTACATAATTGAGTAACTTATACCGATGGAGGATTTTGAGATCAATGCAGGGTAGAGATTAGGAGATTGCTTCTTGCGAACCTTGAGGTACACATCGACGGCTCGGTAAACACCGTCGTCGAAGAGCCTAGCCTGTTCAGGGAGAGAAATGGCGAGGTTGTAGAATTTTTCCGGCTTCAGATTGGCGTCGGAGGCGATCTCCGCGAGATATCCATCTATCAATTTGCCGACGAGCATCAACGCCGGCGATCTGAGACCATCGTCCTCAGCTTGATTAGCTTCAGTGACCTCTTCATTTGTCTCGTCGAGTCCATCCAAGAAGTAGGATAAGATCCTCTCTGCACAATCAACGTCATATAAGGTCTCGTTCAGATATGAATAACTCGGAATCAGAAGATCGTCCAGTTTTGCTTGTTCGAGTTGCGATCCTATTTTCTTCTCTAAAGCAGCTTTGCAAGCTTCCGAAGCATTCAATATATTGGCCGTCCTCAGTAATCCGAAGAGGAACCTTGTTGCAGTTGAAGTTTTGGAGCGCTTCTCTAGTGGAAGATTACTGATTATGGTCTCTAACAACTCCTTTTGTTCAGTCTCCGTAGGCATACTAGACGAAGAGGAGGAAGGCAACGACGGCTTCCGGTTCGACCTGGATATGCCTGGAATATATTTCTTGGCGTAGTTCATTAAACAGCTCTCAATAATCTCCGAGCTTACTTCCTGATCTCTCATGGAGAAAATCAACCGCTTAAACAGAGGCAGACTCAGCTGTGCGAGATCCTCAAACCATGAGATTCCCTTGCTTCCTCTACCACCGCTCTTCTTTCGCCCTCCGGTTTCGATTCCATTCCACAGCATCTGCTTCGAATGATCTTGAGCGCCACTGGCTTCGTCACTGACTGGCCATCCGAACAAAGCGGGATCGGCGGAAGGCGCTTTTGAAGCGATCGAAGCGATACATCTCTGCGTAATGCATAAGGTCTCGGCTTGAAGCATTACAAGCTCACAAGATTTCAGCGTTTTAATCGACTCTTTGATGCTTTTGAGTACGGTATGGGAGAGGAATCTCTCAGTTTTTGAGATTAGGTTTTCTTCGCTGTATTCTTCCGTCATTTCCAGAAAATCTCCGGCGCAGCGGAGAGGAGCGACATTGGAAGAGTTGAGGTCTATCTTCACGCCGTAACAAAACTTCGATGCCATTTCGAAGATCTCAGAGCCGCCGGGGAAATCAGAGAGCACTATATGGAAGTGATCTTCCTCAACTTCGTCTTCTTCCTGTTGCTCTGCTTCGGCAGTTTCATTTTGATTTTCTCTGGTAGGAGTAGTGTAGTTGGCTTCTTCTTGCTCAGTTATCAAATTGTGAAGTTTCCGGCTCTTAGACATCAGAGGAAACTGAAAATTTACAAATCCGTAAGGCCAGAACTCAAGAGGAACTATCCGAAACAACCAAATCAACCAAGAAAGAAGAGGAAAAAACTACTAATCAAGTAAGTTCGAGATTTAGAAGGCGACCTTGTGGAGATGGAAAGCCATATCATCCACTTCGATGACAATGTCGCTCGGTAAGCCAGTGGTGCAGAACCTGCAAAAAGAAAACCCAAAAATACCTTCCCAATCAGCACCATTGACATGGGAGCTTTAGCCGAAGGTGGGAAAATGGGGAAGGAAGACAAGAGGAACTCACCATGCTTGCCTCTTAGAGCTGGGGTTCTCTGCAGCAGCTTGTATTTCCGTTGCCATTTTCTGCACACTGCCCCGAAGAATCAGTCCCTGAAACTAGAAAACCAGATCCATTTCTCGCACAAGCTGGAGAAGTCCGAAGGCACAGAAATCTGCGGGGGGGTTTAGAGGAAGAAAACAAACAAAGAAACAAAGAGAAAGAAGTAAGATCTTTGAGGACTGTTTGTGTTTGGATGAAATGGACTTCTCTCCGGAAGAACAGATAAAAAGGAAAACGACCAGTGATGGTGAGAAAATTGTTTGGTTGTGCTTTAGCTCGTTGCGATTGCCTTTCCTGAGAAGAATAAATCTGACAAATAGCATCAAAAGGCGAATGCCAAATGGGAATTTAAAGAAGAAAAGAAAAGAAAAGAAAAGAAAAAACCCCTCTTCTCAGATCGGACAAATGGGGGGTTTCAACAAAATTTCCTTTTTTCTTCGCTGCTCTTGGTCTACGAATCAGGTCAGTATCTCACCCGCTCCATTTTAGACTTCCATCAAATAATTAATTGATTCAATTCCTTTCTTCCCCATCGTCAAAGAAAGGAAACCGCAGGCTCGAATTCATGTTTTTCTGCTTCTTTCCATTCAATTAAAGAGTTTCTTGCTTTGCCACAAGCCTAATTTCTGGAGGGTCGGTTACCTTTTATTTTAAGAAATTAATGGCAGCTTTTTTTTTTTTTTTTTTTTTTTTTTTTGTCGTCGTCGTCTAAACTACTTGAAGCACTACCTTTATAAATTGTATTTTTAAAGAGAATCCTTTTTTCAGAACTGATGCCACCATATAATTCATAGCTCTTTTATTTTTCACTAAAAAAAAAACTCTCATATTTACTTTTGTAACGAGTAAATTTAATAAAATCTCATGAAAAATATGTGAATATGAAAGGGAACTGAGTTGTAAAGGTAATATTTTTTTTGTAAATAGGGGGAGGCCCATTAATGTGACATTATCACTTTCTTTAATTTCATAAGAAACAGCTAGGGAATGCCAACTTGGGGGGGGTTAGTGGTTTTAGGTAAGTGATTGAATATTTTATTTTAGTATACATTTTTTCAGATTTTAATATGGGGGGCGTGGAAGGATGGCAATGGCTCTCACCTCTCGTATCTATAATTGTCTCATGCAGAAGAGCAGCTGCTGAATCACAATTCTGGGTTTTACATACAAAATTCAATGCTTCCCTTACCCACCCACCGACTCTGCCCATTTCAAAAGCTGCCGCTGTACTCTGGTAAGCTCTCTCTCTCTCTCTTTTTATGAGATGGATGAACTCACCCAATGTGCTTTAGATTTTTCAATTACAAATTTGTGTAAATTTTTGAAAATTAGATTGGTTTATTAGAAATAGGCTTGAAAAAAATGCAAACTATAAGAAAAATATATTAGAATCTTTGGGACAGCTAGTATGAGTTATGAATGCCCCAAGTGGTAGTGTGACCTAAGTGGGAGGGAACTCATAATGGCAGCCTGCCTGCTCAGATGAGATGAGACTAAGCAATTCACCAATATAATGGGAATATGAAGTGGGGGCCATATGTGAACCCAATCCAAAGATTTATTTCTTTCTTTTTCATAATAATAACATCACAAGAGACTAAAAGCTATGAGAAGTTATTAATTTTCAAAATTTGATGGACAAAGGTTCAAATATAACATTAATCAAACATACCATTGAGCTGTATTGGTATGCAATAATGTCCATCTTATGGCATGGGACATTAATCATAAACAGTAGAAATCATATGAAATATATAATTATACAATGATTTCAACTTTAATATAAAATTCAAAGGGGGATTATTAGATAGACAGACAAACCCCACTTACTTAACAAAGTGAATCTTCTCATTAATTATTTTCCCTTTTTTTTGGGGTGGAAAATCTTGGATTGAATTAAAAATACATAAAGAAGATTGCAGAATTGTAATAAGGGAATCCAGTAATTATTGAAACCACATGGTTTGGATTAGGAAAAAAACAATTGGTCTCAAAGAAGGGAAGGAAGACAATATAATGCCAAAAGAAGTTATGTTACCAAATTATAAATGTTTTTCTTCAGTTAATTTACATAATTATATTATTACAAATTATAAATTCTTCGGTTGAATTATTATTATATAATTGTAAAACCAGAAACGACATAGGCTAGCAGTAAGTAAGTATATCCTAAAGTAGTTGCAATTCAAAAATCTGAAGTGGGTAAAGCACTTTGAAATGAAGAGGGGGAAACGTCCAAAAGGGCACAAAACCCCACAAAATGCAGTTAAGTTATGTGGGCACAATGCACAAAAACTGAGCATACAGATTCTTTGATTAGTTTATTTATTTGTTCATACGCATTATTTCATGGCAAGGAAGCACGTAGGTCAGCATGTATGTATATATACATATTATCTTACTCATAGTTGAAGCATTTTCCACTGAAATGCTTTGAATCACAGCACAAATTGGGGCAAGATTGTCTCCAACACAATGCGTGCCCCTTTTGGGCCCTCTGATTGATGAAGAAACATGCATTGATTAATCAAAAAGACTACTCAGTTGGAACTTGCTTTAACAAGGGCTCAATCAGGTTTCAAATGCCTCTTTCTTCTGGATCTACTTTTGATAAAAAAAAAAAAAAAAAAAAAAAAAATTTAGATATGAGAGGAAGTTAATGAAAAGTAGATAAAAGAATGTTAGGTACAGTTGAAAACGTGCATTTTGGTAGTTTCTAGATAGGATTTGAATAATGCCAAAGTGGGTATGTATGAGGCAAAGCTTTGCATCTAGTAACGTGTGCGTATGTGTGTGATTAGATGGGGACATGAAGTCAAGGGTGGGCGTTGGCGTTGGCACAAATCTAAGGCTTTAGTGGGTTGCTGGTTACCACATGCTCCCAGGAACCTCTCTCCACAATCCTTGCAGCTTTGCTTGCAATCCACAAGAGAACCACAAAATTGCATTCATGTGGATCCAGGAAAAGAGGCAAACTGGGGCCGAGGCCGATTTGGCTTTTTCACTTGAGGGGCCGTGTGTCACGCATATTATCCCAGGCCGGAATACTCCTTCGGCTCTCCACCGAACCCAAGAGGTAAATCTATTGTGCAGGCCACATTTTATTCCCCTCTAAATTAGTGGATTTTTGCACATTCTAACTAGGCTTCGAGAAGTCAAAACACGCTGAATTAATTCAGGATCGGTCACCTGCATGACAGGCAAGAATACTCACTACTATACTGCAACACGAGTTGCTTTGAAAATAGAAGATTCATGCAGAATGAACTAAAGCAATGGTGAGATTTTGTTGTGTATGTGAGCAGAGGAAAGGAACTCTGCTAAGGTAGGTTGTGCTTGCATATTGGTCAGTGGGCTTTGGAGGAAAAATTAATGACTCGTTTTGTTTATGGTGAGGCCCATAGGATCAGCCAAACAGATATGCATAGTAGGGTTTAATAGAATGAATTGAGTTATAGAGGGCAAGAAATTCGTTGAGGTAGCCGTTTATATGAACTCTGCTAAGGTAGGTCTCCTTTAAATTTCAAGAGACTTTCTGGACATTATCATGAACAACTGGAAGACAGTTCACAATGATGTTCTTTTTTACAACTTTAGAAACCTAAGAATGAGTATGGAGATGAAATGATTGGTGAAAATTTGAAGGAAATTGTGAAAACTCGAAACAAATGCACTCCTTTTAAGTATCAATGATCGTCAAAGTACATCGAACAAGAGGCCATGACAGACGAATTGTATCAATTTTTACTCTAACAATTTAATCTGTTACCATTTGTTGAATTTTTTTTAATTTATGAATTAATTAAATTAAAATTTCCGTAAAAACTTTATAGGTGAGTTTGCATAGAATTAGTGCCTAAATTAGGAAAAATTAAATAGAAAAAATTTGGAATAGTTAATTAATTTTAGAAATTTTATATTTTTCTGAGTTCTCTAACCCCTCCATGGAAAGAAGAAGCATTAATTTGAGATATTTTATATTCGTTTCAACTTTGAGATTTCTGTGTTAATTTTCTGATCTGTTAAAATGTAAAACTTTTTTGTTTTTGTTTTTTTTTTTTTTTTTTTGTTTAGTGATTCAGTTTTGTGTTTGGAGGTGTTTAATTATGAATTTGTTTCATTTGTCGATGAATTAACTTAGAAATCGTAGTTTTGTTTTTTTGTTGTTCGTTGAAGCGAGGTGAAAAGGTCAAATGAAAAGATTTTTGTGAGTAAACTTATCTGGTTGTTATTGCGAATTTCAGGAATTGATATGAATTCCCAAATGGCGTTCACGCAGAGTTGTAAATCTCCCATGGCTCGCTTTGCTTCAGATTCCTTCACCCTCCACAGAATCCCGCTCTCCTTTCGGATTCCTCAGCCTCTCCTTAAACCCATAGCCGCCGGATTTCGAACTTCCCGCCGGAAATTTTCAGGCATAGTCTGCCAAACGCTTCCTAATCCCGCCGACACTTCTTCCGATGCGGTATGCTTCAATTTCTTCATCATCTCTTTTTCAATTTCCTCCTCGATTTTCCTTTTGTTTTTCTCTCTCAACCGCGCTGAGAATATACTGAAGCTTTTGCGAAGTGTAATTCAGTTGTTCTTTTCATGTAGCTTCAATTATTGAATCAAGCCCTAATTACCTGAAATCAAGATCAATTGCTTAATGAATTTTCTCGATTCTACTCGTAATAAATGCAGAATAGTTCATAAATCTTCAGGACTGATACCTTTATTTTCTGGTTGTAGTTCATCTTTCTGACGCCTTCTTCTCCAGGAAAAATCATCGGACGGTCCTGAATCAGTCGGTGACAGCACTGGCCAAACCGCTAGCTCTTCCAGTAATCAGGGTTTCCCAGAATTTCCCGATAAAAATATCAATAGACGGGTTGCAATCATTTCTACCGTTTCAGCTCTGGCACTTTTCTTGTCAGCTCGATTGGATTTTGGAGTTTCTTTGAAGGACTTGGCTGCGGCGGCTTTGCCTTATGAAGAGGTTTGGAATCCATAAGTGTTCATAGTTCTGACAATCTCTTTGCTTTACCTGATTGTGATCTTAAATTAAAGTAATTATAGCTCAGAAAGAAGATTCATATAATGTTTTGTTATTATGATTCAGGCTCTCTCAAATGGGAAGCCCACTGTGGTGGAGTTCTACGCAGATTGGTGTGAAGTTTGCAGGGAATTGGCTCCAGATGTATACAAAGTGGAGCAACAGTTCAAGTAATGATTCTTTTATGTTCCCCACTTTGTGGAAATGTCGTTCCATGTTTACACCATTTGTTCTTGATGGATTATCAGACTTTTTGGAAATCTATGACTGACTCATCAGAACTGTTCATCCTTAATTGTTTTAAACTGGAGGAAGCTAAATACATCTCTTTGGGCTTCCAGGGACCGTGTGAATTTTGTTATGCTGAATGTTGACAATACAAAGTGGGAGCAGGAGCTTGATGAGTTTGGTGTTGAGGGTATTCCACATTTTGCTTTTTTAGACAAACAGGGGAATGAAGAGGGTAATGTAGTTGGCCGACTTCCAAGACAATATCTGCTCGAGAATGTCGATGCTCTTGCTCGTGGAGAAGCGTCGATACCTCATGCTCGTGTTGTTGGACAGTTTTCAAGTGCTGAAGCAAGGAAAGTGCACCAAATTTCTGATCCAAGAAGTCATGGGTAGATTCTCCTCCTTTCTCTGCATTAGGGTTAAGTGTCAATTCAAATACTCTCTGGTTCATCTTGTGCCATATATCCAATGGTTTGTTTTATTATGGACATAATTTCTCCTCTTGATGGTAAATAAGTCTTTATTTCTACTCTTCATGGAAGTGCATGTTTGAAAAATGAAACAAGTTATACGAGAATGATAATCGAACAGATCAGAGCATATTCCACTGCCTGGATGGCATGTGACATTTCCTGAGGATGAGCAAATAATACTTCGCATTTCCTGGAAAATGGCATCTACAATTCTATCCATAAGTGGGGAGGGGTTAAGAACAATGAGACAATGTAAGATTTTCCATAGGATTACACAAATAATGGTGTAGTGAAATGTAAAAAAAAGGTTAAATGTCCTACAAAAGAGCTTCCTCTTCTTCTTTTTCTTCTCTTTTCACCGTGCCACATTACCCAATAAACTATTTGTTGAAGGTGAGCTTTGTTCACTTAACCAAGGATCCTGTATGGAAACTGGGGAACTATCCATAACCTCTTCTAAAGAAGGCAGATAGTCCTTCTGATGGTTGCTCTCCGGTGGGATTATCAATCTCTGGCTCCCCAGTCCTGCAAGCAGCCCGGCCTTCTTAATTGTAATGCTACTTATGGATCTCTCGCTTATGCTTCGAGGAGATGAGCAAGCCGATCCTGTTGATGATGCTGCACAAAAATTCTCCTCCATTGATGTCCACCCGCTGCGTCTGATGCTTTCCAGTTCCTCTGCTACTTCTGTCATCGAAGGCCTCATGTCGCTGTGAAATGCGAGGCATCTGAATGCAAGCTCAACCACCTTGTGAACAGAGTAGAGGGTCCAAGCATCTCTATTTGGCTCGAGGAAAGGATCAATTAGTTCATCCACACAACCCCTCCCAATCCTATCGATGGCAAGTGCGGCTAAGTTTACTTCACTCGGGGGACGAGTGAAATCAACCACTTTCAATGCGGTTATTATCTCTATTAGGACTACTCCAAAACTATATACGTCGCTTTTATCTGAAAGATAAAAATTTTGATGGTATTGCGGATCAACATAACCTGGGGTCCCTTGTGGAGCTGTTGAGACATGTGATATTTCTGTCATACCAAGTCTAGAAAGACCAAAATCTGCCACTTTTGATTTGAAGCTATGATCCAGAAGTATATTGCTTGATTTGATGTCTCTGTGATATATTGGTGGATGCACAGAAGAATGGAGGTATGCTATTGCACGAGAAGTTTCGGCTGCAATGGTGAGTCGTGTTGTCCATGGAAGGCCATTTCCACGCTCTCTCTGAAGATGTTGAGAGAGAGTTCCATTAGGCATAAACTCATATACAAGGATCTGTTGGCCTTCCTCAATGCAGCAGCCAAGCAAGCGAACTAGATTCGGGTGGCTCACTGAGGAGAGCAGTTTTATCTCATTCATGACCTGATCAATGCTATTGTGGTCTCTATATTTGATCCTTTTTACAGCAACCCACTCATCCTCATGAAGCCTTCCTGCATAGACTGTACCAAAGGCTCCAGTTCCCAGCCTTTGTTTCTCAGAGAAGCCACTAGTGGCTCTTTCTATTTCTTTGTAGGGATATAATGTAACACTCGAATTTCCAGCAGCCTCACTTAGAAGCCGCTTTGCACTCATCTGACCTTTCAAACACAATGAGCGGCGTCGGATGCAGTAACAGATAAGGATCAGGATGGCCATTATAACGGCCCCAACAATGGCACCTGAGATTATAACTGTTAGGTTAGAACCAAAGATAACCTATTGATGTATTTTTCTAAATAAATGGATATACCACCTATTGAGGATACGCATCAGAGATCTCACAATCTTAAATAGATGAGTTATTCCTTTCATTACTAATTAGTTTTGAGAAGGACTTGATGTTCATCTAATACCATTTTATAAGTAACTCATTATTTACATTTAATTGAAATAGGATAGAATTTACCTCCAATTAGAGCAGCGACTTTGCTTCTGCCACAGTGGCCAGTAATGTATGTAGAAAGATTGCATTTGTGAGAAACTGTAACAAATGCCGAAACAACCAGCAAAACAAATTAATAAAATAAGCAAACATATCCAGCTCGACAAATAATGAACTGAACAAAAAAAGAAAAGAAAAGAAAAGAAAAGGCAACAAATCCTTGCTTCTTACTCGCAATTATCAAGATTTTGATTCTCTATCAAGGAAAATTCTTTAAAAATTGTTCATTTACCGACTTTTTTGGCAAATTAATTAGAACAACAACTTGACAAATAGTAATGACACAGAGGCCATGGCATGTTATGACAACTGGAGAAAAGTCCCCAAAAAAGAAAAAATTTACACTCCTAACTGTACTGCTACTTGTGGTAGGAAAATGACTCAAACCTCTCTCTTTCTCTCTCTCACAAAGTCTTACCACCTCAACGACTTTCTAATTTTACTCTAAAACAATGTTTAATGGTATCTATCTCTCTTTGACTTGAAAATCATGAGAAGCCTAGAGAGTAGGAACCTCATTTTAAAACTCTAAACTGGCAACATCTATGGCGGAAATTATGAGCTATAGTTATAAACAACCCACATAAAAATCCATGGATGATGCATTCTCTCTATGGGCACATGGCATTCGGCTTTCACACCTACGTGAAATTTCTGACTTTTCACACTAAAAGCACATTCATCTCAAACCACCAACATGACACAGCCAAACTTTCAGAAACGTACATGATTGACTTTCCCATTAACTAACAATATTTTAAAGACGTCTCAAAATTAAAAAAAATAAATAATAAATAAAAGGATACATTTTAGAGGGAATAAAAAAACTGAATTCAAAAAGAACATTTGTAATTTTGAAGTATATAATTCTACAACTTGAACAAGACACCCACCCACCCCCCCCCAAAAAAAAGGATAGAAATGAAAACAGAGTGAGAGAAAGGGGGAAACCCGAACGAGCAGTCCTTCGATGATTCTTTCTACCTATTCAGAGCAATTCAATTTTTCGGAGAAATATAAAATAAAAATCCTATTTCCAATTCTAGCAATGTTTTAAGGTATTCAACAACCATCTTCGCCACGGTCGAACAAATTAAATGTAGACGGGAAATAAGCAAATGAACCCCTACACACGACAAGGAGGAGCAGCTTTGACTAAAAAGGACCAGGTGTCGACCTCTAATTGGTTAACATGTGCCGTTTTTTTTGTCGTCTATTTTCCTAGTTTATCTCTGGCAATAGGTATATTAGGCCACCCACTAAAAAAAATAAAAATAAACTGGAACACAAAGCGTTGAATATTCAAATAACACATATTTAATGTATATTTAATCAAATAAGTTGTATGTAGCCACCAAGTTGACTCAGCGACTTACCTTTCCGGCAGCCGTGGCCGACGTCGTCGTAAGCATTTCCTTCAAACCCTTCTATGCACTGGCAACGAAATCCTAGGAGGTCCGCAAAGCTGGTAATGTTCTTGCGATTGGCATTTTTCGAGCATCGCATAGAAGGCACGGGCAAGAGCCACCACTCTAACTCAATGACCCCAAACTGGAGCTCGAACGAAGAGGTCGATTGTGACGTAGAATTAACGAATACAGAGGACAAAAGGGACTGGCACTTATTTAAAGAGGGCAGAAATCCATCTCGCTCGGTCTTAGTGAAGCAGGTGAAATTATTACTCTTAAAGCCGCAGTTCTTCAGCTGATTCTGGCTGAAATTGGCCATTATTCCGCATGAAATAGGTTGTTCAGTACAATTCAAGAGGAGACTATTGCGGAGAGTGGGCTTGTAGTTTTGGCCGAACAGTTCTGACATTGAATTGATAGAGATATTGCACTCTTCAGGAAGTTTGATGAGGATGCTCCTTTCAGTAATGTTCTGGACCTGGAATCTTCCGATTTGAACCTCGCCATTTTTGCTGCAATTCAATTTGATTGGGCTCGAGTTTGAGAATCCAAACGGATGTCGTACAAATTCAGCCGAATTTCCAGTTTCGCAGGACGTTAACTCCCCGGCGATTGTTAAAGAAGCCGAGAAAATTGCGATTATGACGATCAAAAAGTTTCGGTGCAAAATCATAGTTGACTGCAACTTACTCTAACTGAATGAGAAACAAGCAGAGTCATCCCCTCCCTGCAAAAGAAGATGTATCTTCAAAACTAAGCCAAAACAAAATCAAATGCCTATTCTCGGACAGGAAAATGATCTACAGAGTCCATATAATTTCAGAAAGGTTTTCAAATGTGAACAAAACAAGGAATCGTCTCCTCAAATCGATTTCTCTCGACGAGTTCGTAAATAACCTAGACATTTCAAAGCTCGAAAAGTAAATGAAGAATTTAAAGCAGGACTGCGATGCCGTTGGAAGGCCATCTATCCTAATAAATGCTCTCAGATGGGAGCAAATATCATAGACGAAAGAGAACGAACAGTTTCTACGGTCATAGCATTAATGAATTGAAAAACTCTGCCCTCTAACCTCGCTCTTCAATGGAAGTAAATGCTCTGCTGATCACACTTGGATGCTGGCGAGAGCCTTAGAGACGAGGTCGACACGATGATTCAAGTCGAATACAGAGGCAAATTTATAGATTAGGTTTCAATCGAAGCAGATTTGATCCCCAAATTCGTTATCAAGAACAACCCGAATCGCAAGGCTTGTTGATTTTGATAGAAAACGGAAAATGAAAGCTGAGGAAAAGAGAACGAGCTTCTTCTTCTTCTTCTTTTGGACGCCTTGACGGAGGCATTTTATAATATGACCACCCTACCCTTCATCATTTTAACGCTCTCTCTCCTACACTCACACACACAAATTACGAAAATAGCCCTGCTATTTTGAGCCTTCTTCAATTTATTCGTTATTATTAATTTACTTTCCCTAATCACATCATTTTATTTTATTTATTTATTTTTGGAGATATAATGTCATAAATTTATGTGGCAGTTAAATCTGCTACCAGAATCATTTAAATGCCAAGGGTTTCACAAAAATACATGAATAAATAAATAAATAAATAAATAAATAATTAAGATTTATTAAACAATTTTTAAAATTTAAAACACAAAATTAAAATGTGATTCAACCCCTTTTAGCAAACTTTTAAAGTTTTTAGGACCTCATAAATAAAAATTTAAAATTTAATTAATTTAAACCACACTTTTATGTGAAATTTACCGCGCAAACTCGGGTCAAACACTCGAATGTTTCCCACGTGTGGTTAACCTAAAAAAATATTTAATTGAAGTAACAACCTTTTTTCATATACTGAGTGGTTATGTATAATTTTGACAAGATTATTTTACAAGGTCGACAGATAATAACATTTTCTCTCTTCTGTCCTCAAAATATATAAATAATCACATGCTTAATTAGCTTAATTATTAATATAAACATAGCTTAAACAATAAAAATAATTACTAAATTATTTAAGAAAAAGAAAGGGTATATTGTATGAATGTAAATGTGAATGCAAAATAATGAGGGAGTGAGGACCACCATGGTTGGAAGTAACGAAAAATGGAGGAAATGAGAGAATCTCGGGTACAACAAAGTTAGGGCTTCTAAAACCTCAGTGTTATCCACACCGAGACTTTAATGCGTTGTTTCAAAAAACAAACAAATTAATTATCTGCAGTTACACCTTCCTGTATAGTTCTAATGCACTACTAGCAAATATTGTTTCTTTTAATCCGTTAAATATTGTCATCGGCCTTACGATTTTAAAACGCTTCTACTAAGGTGAGGTTTCCACATCCTTGTAATGAACGCTTCGTTTCCCTCCTTAATTGATGTGGGTCTTACCATAAGGATATTAATTAAAAATTTAAACTACTAATTCATATATTTTTTTTTTTAGTAATAAGTAAGAAAAATAGAGGAATATGAACAAATAAAAAATGCTCTAAAAAAGAAATTGCAAATGTTTATTTTGATTATGGCAACTTCTCTTATTGCATTTTAAAAAAAATTATATTTATGTATTAACGAACAAAAAAGAAAAAAGAAAAAAAGAAAAATGTGGTGAATGCTGATTAGATAGCGCCTAAATTATTCTGCTTTTTTTTTTTTTTTTTTTTTTTTTTAAAAANAATAAATAAGTTATTCCAGGTGCCAAAAGTAGAAGCAGCTCTGTCCACAAGATAAATATACTTTTTTTTTTTATTATTATTAAAAGAAACAATAATTCATAAAAGTATGTCCGCATACTTGTTTTTTCATAATTAGTTTTAATAAAACAAACTTTATTTCTGTTTAAATAAATAAATAAATAAATAAATAAAACAGGAATTTCCAACACTTTTTTTTTAATTTCTAAATTAAAAAAAAATCAAAATAACATATATTTAGTATCATCAAACTTCTATTATTTTGATTTTCTTAAAATAGAAAAAAAATATATAGAATTGGAGGGGCAAAATTGTATTTTAGAAAAAGGTCAGCGACGGCGTAAGAGGAGCAGATTTTGGGTGGGAATTGGAAATTGCATGGAGTGGGAAAGGGAAAGGTGAGGTGGACGAAAATGGCCCTGATGGACGCGGAAATGAAATATGAAATTGATATAAAAGTCAACGATTAAAATTATAAAGAAATTGACCGAAAAGGGCAACAAAGTACTTTTGTGGGCACACCCACAGCATCTTTCTTTCCCCCACCACCACCACCA